TTTCAAAGGCAGAGCTAATAAACAGAAAGGTGGATTATATGATACACAGAGTCTCCTGAAATTACAAGTATTAAAACTTTGGAGGAACAGATTTGAGGTAGAAAAATCTTCACTGAGCTTTAAGGATCCTAAAGGAATAGACTGAAAAAGTCTGGTCAGATCATGAGAAGACAAGAAATAAAACAGGTTAGAAAAAACCTTGAGGGTGATGACCAAGGCAAAACATCATGGACTGATGTCTGAATATGGTCTCCAGCAGGAGGGGGATCCAGTCTTGGAAGTGCTCTGTGTTGTTGCTAAATTTTTAGTTAGTTTTATTACACATAAGGGGAAATTTGGGGATGTAAGGAGAAATAAGTCATTTCCAGCCAAAATTTGCTTAAATAATTCTAATACCCTTCTGCACAAGACACAGAATAACAAGACAATTACTAGACAATCATACTTGATTTCTTCAACAAATTCAGCCAATTTAAAGTTTGGTAATTAAACAGGTGATTTCAACTCCAGTCAATTTTGGATTTAAAGTAAACAGAAAAGGCTAATACGTATTTTGTTGACTGTAAAGCCGTGGAATGAGCTCACTAATTTCTTTGTGCTGATATTAACAGCAGGCCAGTGGTGGAAGATATTCCATATGAAGTGAGGAGGGCTCAGGAAATCAATCATATATTTGGTCCCAAAGGTAGTGATGATGCCTATGACCTTATTTTTGACCTTCACAACACCACTTCTAACATGGGTGGTACCATTATTCTTGAAAACTCCAGGGATGACTTTACAATTCAAATGGTTCATTATATCAAGGTAAAACTAATTTAAATGAACTATTAAAATACATTATTAGTTGTAATGTTGTATTACTATATATTATTTTGTAGTTTCTTTAAATATATTATTTTTTCTTCTGCAAAACTGTTTAAAATATTTCATTACTGATAGGATGAACTTTTTTTAATCAGAGGCAACTATTAATTTGATTATAATATCAGGTAATTCAGATTTAAACTCATCATGTCTTCATGTATTAAAATGAGCATTATTAAGACTGATGGGCAAAGGGAAATACTTAGAATAACATCTATGAAAATTAATGTAGTTTAATCTGCTTTCACACAGATCTATCAGGAACTTGGATAAATTTGGGTTATACATGCCAAATAGTTAAACATTAATTTCATTAAATAAAGAGATGTAACAAATAATGGAAGTAAGTAATGACAATGTTCCCTTATCAGTGATGTGTCTTTAGAAGCTGTTTGATTCTGCTGTTCCTGAAGCTGATAAGTTTTGGTAGAGTGAGGTTTGCAGAATTTGCTTGAATTCTGGTGGCCTGGACAGTGACTGGTGGAATCCAGGCTGGGCCAATGGTGTGGGATTTTAATTTTGTTTTTTCCCCTAGAAACAAGGTCTTTTCAAACTTTTTTTTTTCTTATTACATGCATTCTTTTTAAAAGGCTTATTTAAAATACACAAAGATCTAAAAAGCTTTTGACTAAAATTATGTGAAGAGTAATGGTGGACAGTCATTAAGAAAGAAGTTTCAAGTAGCAAAAATGCCAATAAAGAAGATCAAAATGAGGCTTAATTCACAATCTGTGTCCCCATAGGAGAATTGGAGTCTATAGTTGAAATCTGCTTTATGGTATTTCAGTTCTCACTTTTGGAACCATGCTGAGGAGATTTTTTTTCTCTGCTGGCAGTTCTGGACTAGAACTGTGCTCAGTTCTGGTTCAGCAGAGCTGCCTGGCATCAGTTAATGGAACAGGCACCAACAAACACAGCTTTGTGCATTTTCTAAAGATGTCCTACTTCCTCAAGGGCCCTGAAATAAAGGCAACATATTGAAGACATTGTGTAAATCACTTCTGCATCAGTAATCTTTTGTGGCACAACATTTGAAATCATTTTGCATGACAAAGGCGTTTTTAACCCATCCCCACAGAACGCTCTGGCTCCAGAACCTTGTCCTGCTCTGCTGATTGAACATCCCAGCCTGAAATATGCAACAACTCGCTCTGTGGCAAAACATCCTGTTGGTAAATATCAAACCTAAAGGCTCTTTCAACCCACCAGCAATGATTTGGAAATACAGCTGTTTTCAGATGTGTTCACTGCCTTATGCAGAGTGCTCTGAGCACCAGGAGCTGCTTGCTTGGCAATATTTACCAAAATGAATGGATGTGATTATCCATTCTTCTGAAGAGTTCTGATTTACACAATTATTACATAACACAGAAATCCTTCAACTCAATTAACCCACTTTTTGCAGAAAATATTTATAATATACGACAAGGACTTGCTTGCCTTAAAACTCCACATAATTCTGTGCTTTACAATCCCTCTTAAACATTAAATACTGACCCGGCAGACATTTATTTTTGCTGTGCAGTGTAAGCAGCTGATGTGTGGTGGTGACATTAAGTGACATTAATGATCTCCCTCATCTCCAAACAGGTGTGGAGGTGGGGCCCCAGCCACAAGGTGTTGCTCGAGCTGATGTTTTGGACAAAATGAGGAAGATTGTCAAACATGGCCTTGATTTTGTGCAACTTTTTAATGAAGGTAATGAGAGGTTACAGCATCCTGTGTCATGTCAGTGGACTATTTTAGGAGAATATTTTTAAAAATGACATTTTACCGTTAAACAGGTAAAAGGTGGGGGGAGAATTAAAAAATTAAAGTTAGGCCTGTGCACTACCTAAAACACACTCCAACAAAATAAGTGTTTTTAATTATTTCAGAGTACATTTTCTCAGTGGGTTGGGTTTTTTTCTTTTTTTTTTACAGAAAGAAAATAATACAGTTTTGTAAGTCAGAACTTCCATTATTGTGCTGGAATAGTACAGATTAAATACCACTGATAGCACTCCACGCTGTGCAACACTAGCAAAGAGACTTTCATTGATTTCCTCATCTACAAAACAGGTCTTTTTATTTTAAAAGTAACATTTCAGTAGCAAATTTAGACTTGAACTTCATATGCCCCAATACATGACTGGACTATCTTTCTACAACTTGGCTTTGAGGGGACAACCTGATGATTTGAACCATTCTGCAGAGAATAAATAATGCAATGTTCTTTTTAACAGGAGATTTTTTACCTTGACATTAAATTACATTTATTCTTTCTAGGCAAGGAATTTCCACCATGCACAATCGAGGTTTTTAAAATAATGGAGAAAGTAGATTATCCCAGGAATAAGAATGGTGAAATTATTGCAATAATTCATCCTAAACTACAGGTAAATTCTAGAATAGTTTCCTTTTGTGACATTTCCTACTTATTCCTGTGTTGCTTTTGCTACATTGTTGTATATTTTAGTAATAAATATTTAAAATGCCAATATTACCAAAGGGTTTTATTGAATATTTTAGGCCTCCCCTAGGGTTAAGTCCTCTCAGTACGGTCATACATTCATTATTTCAGGAAGTGTCTTGGGAATAACTGAACCTAAAACCACTGTAAAGAAAAAGCCAATAGGATAGCTTATATTTTAAAATATAAACCTAATTTTAATTCTAAAATGAATGTCTGTTTTCAATCAATTGTGAGCATCTGCAGATTCCTTCTAGTTCATTTCACCAGTGAACCCTGAAAATGAGGGCCAGACACACAAAATTATATATACAAAATTATGTATTAAAAAGAAACTGAATTATTTTAAAAGCTTATGCCATAAACTGCAGAAATTTGCATAATTAGCATTAACTCAAGAATCACATAAAATATACAGAAACCTGAAAGTAAATATATTCTATTTCTTTTCTTTCCCTAAGGATCAAGACTGGCAGCCACTAAAGAATGGTGATCCTCAATTTTTGACTCTTGATGGAGAAGTAATTCCATATGAGGGGAACTGTACAGTCTATCCAACATTTATTAACGAAGCTGCATATTACGAAAAGAAACAAGCTTTTGTAAAAACAGAGAAAATCAAACTCACTGCAAAACACCTCAGGTTGTCAGTCTCAGAGCACAGCACTTCTTAGGAGCTTTTTTCATATAAAAAGTGTGTTTCCTTGTGAAGTCCAGGGTTATTCAGGAGTAACTTGTGGAATAAATAAATGCAGAATCTAATTTTAAATTGTAATTTAATTAACCTTGCTGAGCACTTTGAGATCTATTGTGATAATGCTGATTATGACTCTGTTTATTCTTAATTAGACTCCTGCAGATGTAGAATTTATAAATATTTTTATGAAGTTTTTATTAAGAAGCTCATCCAACAGTACTACATTATATACACAAAAATACAGCTTTTCTACTTCATAACCCCAAACTTCAATAACCAACGCTTTTTACAATGGGTTAGTACTTTAAATTAATTCATCAGGTAAACAGGGAATTAAATGTGAGACAAAGGAGAAGCTGGGCAGAGAGAAACGGGGGGAGGGTGTGTATAATAAATGATATTATATGCATATGTGACTGAAGCCCACTGTGCTGAAGTGGAAGCCTTGGGGTTTATTTTGTTTTTATACTTACAAACATAAAAACAAGCTAAAAACAGGATTTCAGAGATATATTCTAAAGAGCTTTACATTTTATTTTAGTGCGTTTCACAGTTAATTCAAGCTGTTTCTGATTTACGGCAAGATTTATGCAGTTACTCTGGTTTTGATGAAGAGCAATGCACAAACCATACCTGAGTATTCCAGACTGGAAATTAAGAAGAATTCCATATGTGGAGACTTGTTCTGTATCTGTAGAGACAAAGCCTGTCATAACATCTTAAAAAGAGAAAAAAATGGGGGGTTAATTAATTTTCTAAAGTTGTTTTTTACATATTTGACAAGTAGGTGATAAACATTATGAACTTTGCATAAGGATACATTAATTATTCACTGAAAAACTAATTGTCCAAATAACTCCTATATTCTACCTTTGAAAAGTTATGTCATCCTCATTTACTACTAAATTTAAACTATTTCTTCCTTGCCTTTGTGTAACTCCTATGGGAATAAAAAAAAAAAAACAAAAAACAAGGGACAGAATGTTGATTGAATGACAAGTTTTATTTCCTTAATTTAAATAAACATGGTATAAAAAGCACAGAATTACCTGCTCTAGCCATTATTCAGAGTGTCCTGGAGACATCACGTGGTTGATGTGAGGTGGCCAAGCTCTGTGGCCACACAAGGAGGGATTTCCTCAGTGAGAGGTTTTAGAAGCAGCCCCCAGCTGGTTCCTGAGTTCACCCCCAGGTTTTGTGCCTGGGCAGGGGCACAGCATGTTCTTGTAGGGTTTTTTTGTGCTTTTTCACAGCCCAGGGCAGCCCCAGCACAGCACAGAGGCTTTGTTGTGTCTCCAGTGGCCTCATGGCCCAGCCTGGTTCCTGAGTGTGTGTGAAGAGGTATTTTTTTTCCCTTTATACAAAAACTGGCACAGAAAGGATCCAAACAGAGCTGAGGAGTCCTGAGGCAATGTCCTTTCTTGGCAGCTTTGGTGCAAAATCAACAATCAAGGATTCCGAGACCGCAGGAACTTTTCTTCTCATCCTCACGTCCCCTTCTGAGAAAGCCAAACAGCGCTGGGGTGTGACGTGGTTTGTGGGTGCACAAATGTCCTTCCCCTCAAATTCCTGTGCCCAGAACACAGCCCAAGGTTCCTGTGGATCCCATCCATCCATCCAGGATCCCATCCATCCATCCAGGCTGTGGTTGGAATCTCAGGACACGGCGTCTGTCAGGGGCCAGTTGGGCAGCAGGACCCACGCTCACCATCCCTGTAAATATTTTGCATTATCCTTCCCACTGCAGGCTTCCCTCACGCTCTCTTCTGTCTTAAGAAAGTCTTTTGGATCATTTTGCCCACAGCTGCAAAATCCAATGCAATTCTCATTATCATTCAAACACAGAACTGAGTTCCCCTGAGTCTCACCTAAAATAGCACCTTTAAAACAGGCACCACATGAATAATTCTGATGAAAAGCCATGACACTGGAGACACATGTTAATTGAAATTTAAAAGTACACAGAACAAATGTTTCTCCTTATATATACACACATAAAATGGAAAACTAAAAATATAATTAATAGTACTTTGTCATCACAGGTAATGAAATAAGAGCTACAGAAATGCATTATAGAGTCCTCTGAATAAAAAATAGTCTGGAATTGCATTGCACTGAACTAATTTTGTTCACCTTGGGAAGAAATACTGACTTCTGATTTTTCTGAAGTGGTTGAATGCAAAAATTACTTCAGAAGAACTTCCAGTGTGGTAACTCTTTATGTAGGAAGATGCAAAGCATGGAAAAGTCAAGGAGGAAAAGTAATGTTGTGACTGGAGCAAAAATCCTCCATCAGGAATTCTACTTCTGCTCTGTTATTTCATGGGGAGGCACAGACACACAGTAATAAATAAACAGCAATAAACTCCAGTTATACCCTCGGGACTGCACAGACGAAAACAGATCAGGCAAAGCCACTGGGATCTGATTTTCCAGTTTATGGGACCAAGCCCCTAGTAACACCAGCAGTCAATGAAAAAGCTGCAGATGTACCCAGAACTTTGCGATTTCAGAATGACATACTTCATTTAGTCATCTTCAGAACTGAAATGCTTTGCTTTTCTCCACAACAAGAACTTTTTTGTTTCAGTGTACGAAATGAGTTTCTCATGAGTTAGGGATTCCAAAAACCAGCAGATTGGGATCACGATGACCTTAATTTTCCACAAAAGGAAGCAATATCTCACATTTGACCTTTTTTATCCAATTAAATATCTCGAGCCAAGTTTGAGGAGCATCAGGCAAACTTGGACAGCACCAGTTTGAGAGGCTCAGAACTGACCCAGTGAAATAATCCCATTTATTTCAGCTCAGCTGCTCTGAATAAATGGGTTCAAGCCATCAGACTGTGTCACTGAAAGTTTGTGTTCCAGCTGGCCACAGCTGTCCAAAACAACCACAAAGCTTTCAGCACCCACTGCTGATGCTCTTAACCTTCAGAAAAGCCACACGTCAAGCACAGCACAACTAAACAGAAGTTTCAGGCAAATCATCCGTTTCTTCAAATGTATTCAGGGTGTTTTTGCTATTAGTTCTTGAATTATCTTGAATTTTGCTCGGATCTGCAAAAAAATGCATTGTAAACAAAACAGGATATGGTAGAAACTGTATAGGCAAGATCAGAGTTTTGCACTTTTTTGTTTTTTGTTAAACACAAAAAAATGTATTATTTAAACAGCAAGCTCTCAGTTTGCTACCATATCTTCTACAGAAATTTTTCACCCCAGAGGGAGCTCATTTTTTCAGGACACTTGTGCCCTGGCAGCAGATGGATGGCTTGGATTTCTTGGCCAAGATTTATGTCATCCAGTATATATTACAAAACTTGTTTGTCACCAACCCTCTCTCCAAGTAATTTAAAGTAATTTAACATCACTGCCATATTAACCATTAGTTTCTCTAGCAATAATGTGTGGTTTAATACAAGAGTTTATGTTTTTAAAGGTATAAAACTGTATCAAAAAACATTTCTAAGAAGAAAAGATTCTGAAAATAGGGTGTGATAAAATTCCACAGTACCTGTTGGCCCTGGATCTTCATTAATAAATGAAACATGGGTTTTCCACTCAGTCCATTTCACTTCATTAATCCTGTTTACATTGTACATAAATTGTGTTATCACCATGCATTTTCCCCCACCTACATCACTGATCCTCCCCCTTTATTCCTTCCTGGGAATGTCACACTTGACCACCTGCTTTGCTGGCACTAAAGCCTGAATGTCTTTTGCACTATGTGAAGGTGAGAATAACACCAAGACTACTTCATAATTTCACACATTGTTAGTACAGTCTTGAAATATTTAAGTACTTTTCATTAAACAGCAAAGTTCTTTAATATGGTAATCATCAATTACCAATCAACTTAACTGTGATTGCTTTTAAGCTGACATTCAAAGGAGATTATGATAAAGTGACATTTACTGCAAACAGATTTGATGCTTCTACAGTCAAAACATATGAAGATGAAAGTCTTTTCTTACCAAAAGATTACCTACATAAAAATTTATAGATTTTCCCTATTTAAACAACTGGTTACAACCGGAAAAAAAAAAAAACCAAATTAGATTTTTGTGCATCTAGCATAATTTGTAGAGGTGAAATATTTTAAAGAGGGTTTTGAGGAGAAATAACCTTGAAGCAGCATAAAGAGAGCAGAATTGATAGCACATTATTCCAGTTTTGCTTTACCTTAAACACACCCTGGTGTCATTTTCAGCCACTTTACACCGTTCTCCCAGCTGGAATTTTTTCCTCAGGCATTTTGGTAAGAATTTTTCAAATTCCAAAATAGTCCTGGCTCTCTATTGGCAGTAAATAGTAAAATGAGTAAGGTTATCCATGGTCTGATTTCACAGCATGCAGTTTGTAGCAGGTCAAGCCTCCACCCACAGCTAACACCCAAAACAGCAAATCACTGACAATTTGTGCAAACAGGGATTCAGATTCCTGGAAAAATAGTGAAACACATAATCCTGTGACATATTCAGGGGAATGAAAGTCATGACAGGGCATGGGTTGGAAATCCAAGCCATGATATCACCTTTAGGATTGTTAATTCCAAGGTTCCTAAGGTTCTCTAATACTGGAATTATTTATTTCTATTACTCACACACAAAACCAAATGAGGATTATCTTTAACACTTAACCTGCTGTGTCAGCATGAGGGTTTTAGCTCAAGCACCTCCCAAATTCCCAAACAAACCTGGAGTTTCCAGATGTGCTCACTCTCCTTAGAAATATCCTCCACCGTTTCTCCCATTAACGCAATCAGCATGTTCAAGAGAAGAACAAAAGTCAGCACAACAAAAGTTATGAGGAGCAGGAGAAACAGGACAGGGTACTTGGAGTTCTGCTGGATCTCCAGGTCACCCAGACCCAGGGTGAGCTTGAAGAGATCCATCAGGACAGGTCCCAGGCTGCTGTTGGAGTGGCATTCCCCACCCTCCTGGCACGTCTCAATCAGGGCAGCCAGAGCTGAGAAGAAAGCACAAGGAAGTTTCAGTCACAATCATTATTTAGGAATATAGGACACTTCATCCCAAAGAATTCAAACTGCTTTAGAGAGCCAGAGCTGCCCAGCCGCACAGAGCAGCTGGGTGACAGCTCCAGGAAGCAGAGTGTGCCCATTTCCAAATGAGATTCCAGGGATTTGAGACCAGGAGACAAATCTGTTCACACCTAAATTTAACATCCAGAAGAAACCCCAACATGAGCTCTCATGAAAACAGGGCTCTTATTCATAACAATGCTAAAATTTCTACTCACACTGAGCATCTGTGCTTTTCTGCAGAAACACTTACCTACACCAAATCCCAGCAAAAACACGATGTAGACAACTAAAAACTTGATCACATCTTGCAGGATGACCTGAAAATGGAATGAAACAGTTGCCTGAGATTAAAATTCAGAACTAGCTTTGTGCTTTTGAATTCTGCAGGGGTACAGGTGAGGCACACACTAAAGCATCAGACTGCTTTCCTTGAGCAAACAAACTCAAAGGTCTGATTTTTTATGTCAAGCCTGATGTGCTCTCTGAGAGTGACTAATTCTGTACAATACAGACATTACAGATTGTGATGCAATTAAACTGCAGAACTACATTAGCTGGAAAAAGCACAAACTACTCACATATTTAATGTAATAAAAATGTCAGTATTAAGGCACAAACAAGTTCCTGTTGTTGAAGAAGAACAAATAGTGTGTTCTGCTGAAATAATGCATAAAAACTGGAAAGAAGATATTTAAAAATGAACTATAAAATACAAATAATTGCTAAATATACTTGATTGGGATTGTAGAACAATGGAGTATCATCAGGCAGGTAAAAGAAAAGAAAAACTTGCCTTTTGAATCATCACACTGTAAATGCCCATGGACTGGAAGCCTCTGGTGAAATAGAGCATATTGGCCCAGCCAAGGGCCATTGCCAAAACAAGACACACCAGGTGTTCTTTGTAGGAAAACAAGTACAAAAAGACAGAGAAGATCACAAGCAAAGCTTGTATAAAACTGTTAAAAAACAAACATATATGTAAAAGAGAAATTACTAGCACAAAACCAACAACAGAATGGAAAAATACTAAAACAAGATTTCTTTGCTCTTTAGGCTTAATTTGTAACTTCATGCTGCTTTTTTATTCTCCCCATGAAACTGGCATTATAGTTTAATGATAAAATAGATCAGTGCAAGCAGTATATTAACATATAAGGATTATATTTATTAAATTTATTAATTTAGGTAAACTATTCTCCCCAAAACAGCTGCTCAAAGCAGATATTGCTGACAGAATTGTAAGAATCCTTATAATACTTAGAAGCCATTTAATTGCAGTTTTAGCTTAATGAATTGATAGAATCATTACAGACTTTTCACAAACAGGGAAGACACTGGCAGGTGTGAAAAATCCACTCCATGCACATCAGCCCTGATATTGTCACTGACAGTGCAACCAAGAGTTTGTTTTACAGAAAAACTGCAGGCAAACTTACATCCATCCCTCTAAAACTGATAATTTTTAGGGGAAAAAGTGAATATCTGCTACAGGAGCACATTCTCTGTAATCATGATATAGAGAATTTAATATGTAAAAATAAAAGGGAAAAAAAGATACACATCAGACTTACAATGCAAAGTGGAACCAGGCATCAGAGAGAATGGACTGCAGGTCTGAGGGCCTGAGCAGGAAGATGGCCACACTCTGTGCAGGCAGAAACAGAAAATGCAGGCATAGTGAAGGGAAGTTTTTCAAAATAACTGGAGTTCCAAACTAATCTATCTACTAATAAGATGTGGTTAGCTTTTAGAATTAATTTTTTTACAAGGCTGTGTCCTAGGGTGATGTTATGATGTTTGTATCCCCAGCTGTCTGTCCTGTTTATGCTGGATGTCTGTGCCTTCAAGACCATCTCTGAAAAGCCAAGTTTTGTTTTGTTATCAGCCTGCTCACTCCCCCACGGGCTGCTGGACACAGATGTAGTGCATAGAGCTGCTTTTGCCTTTGCTCTTCCTCTTTGTTCTTGCTGCTGCTTGTTTTTGCTTGTGAGTTAGTTTATCTGGGCAGTCCGAATTTTTCCCTGGACTTTCTTCCCCTTTTCTTGGAACCATTTGAACCTGCTCTGGACTGGGACCTGGAAAACACCAGGAGTTTGCACTTTGTGGGCTGCAGCAGCAGGAACTGATAACAGAGTGACCACTCCCAGGAGAGACTTTCTGAATTTGTCATCTCCTCAGAGCAGTGAAAAAGTTTTGTCATCTGGTGTAGTTCATTTTTCTGTATTGGGGAGTGCTTTGCCTGTTAAATAAACAGGTTTTTCCACTTCTCTCTAAGGAAATTCTTCTCAAACCAGGTTGGGGAAGGGGCCGTGGGGGTTTGCTTTCTGGGGGCTCCTTCCAGAGGTTTTTCTCCCAAATTTGCCCTAAACCAGGACAGGCTGTAAATTCAGAGGTTCAAATTCTGTCATCTCTGGCATAATATAAGTTACTAGTTTTAATTACTTACAGTACATGGCAAAATTATACCATAGGATTTGTTTTTCATTACAACTAGAAATTCTTTTGTCCTTAAAGCCCATAATTTGACAATACTGATATTAAACAAAGATCTCCGCATTGACAATTTGAAAAGCAAACATCCTTATATTTATTTCACAGTTGTAATCAAATATATAATCAGGGTCATTCTGAATAAGTGATTGTGCCAAAGATTTGAAAATTACACATGTCAGAGACACTACATGTGTATTGCCAATATCAGCAGCAGCATATTCATAAATTTAGAGAAGTTCTTTACAAATTAGTTGTATATTTGTTTCTAAAAAAATAAAAAAAATCTTACCTCTTTTATGGCTAAAAATATTGCTCCTAACATAACCATCACCTGTCCTGACAACTGCAGCCACCCCACTCCTCGGGTCAGTGCCAGTGGATAAGGAGGAGCCTGCAAAGAAATCCAGAAGAAAAATTTCAGTTCCATCCCTGAAGGGTAAAAAGCAAAGCAAGAGAAACCCTCACACCTGTAACTCTCTGAGTTCACAATTTCTTCCCTTCCAGGGAGAATTTTCTTGATGTATTTACACAATCAGCCCTCTAAAAGAGGTGTTTGAAATATCAGAAGTTTCTTTCCTAAAGGAAAAACAAAATACCCTTTTCCTACCTTCAGAAATTTCACAGTCTTTGTATCATTTATTTGTATTTTAGGTCACTTCCACAAAATGCAAATCTGATGTGGAAGAACGTGGTCTCTCTATACCCAGATATTCCAATATCTGGCCTTGCTTTAGCATTTTAAATACACTTCAGGAAATACTATTGCCTTTTAAGTCAGAAAAATTTGGTGAGGTTCAGCTACTGCACTCACTTCGTTTGTATTAGGCCTGTGGTAGGAAACCAATGTTAATGTTACATTGTACAGGAAATAAAAGCAGCAGGACATGAAGAACATGTGCCGTGCAAACTTCTTCCATTTCATCCTCAGCAGTGAGTTCAGAGGCTCCAAAGTCAGCATCTCGTGACGATTCTGAGGAGAAAAATAAAATACGTGAAAAATTTAAATATTTCAACTTACTGCCTGTAAGTAAAATGAGCTTTAGGTGTGAATTTTGTGTATTTCATTCCATGCTATCCTTGCTGCTCTAGAAACACCTCTGTGCTCAGGGATGTGCCAGACCTACCTAGGATGGGACAAAGAGACAATTCCTCCTCCTGCTGGGATAATTCCCAGCCTGGTGAATTATTTCTGAGTTAAACTCTCCTGGGAACTCCTGGTCCTGCTTCCTTTGGGAAGTTTTGGAAGGATTTGAATTCAGCAAATATAAAATCCTGGCTTTGTAAAGCAAACACTCTTAAACACCTAAAATACAAACCTGTTAAGTAAAGTTTATTTGGTCTGATCAGCTTGGCCATATTTATGTTCCTAAGTCAAATTAATGCTTCAAATGTAGGAAAAGACACTCCCAAAATAACTAACTTGTGTTGTAGAAGCTGAATGCATATTTGCTTACAGCTGACATTAGGCAGCAGCATAAAATTTATACTGCTCCTGATACAATAACTGAGAAACAAGAATTACTGTTCACAAGTAACTCAATTGTTTGCAAGGCTGACACTTCTAAAATGGGGGTACTGCTAGAAAAAAAAAATTTTGCTATATATTATATTTATTATTATATTTATTATATAATAATATTTTATTTATTTAATAATGTATTGCTTTATTATATTTTTATTTAAATAATAATTTAAGATTAGTAATTTAAATAATGTATAAATATTTAAAACAATTTAATAATTTTTATTGTATTTTTAATAATATATATATTTGTTTTATATAAAAATAGGCAACTTACACCAATATTTGTATTATAGACAATGATTTCCAGCACTGAGTTGTCAGCAGTGGTGTCCAGCTCTGTCAGGTCATACAGAGAAGACTGAACAGGCCCATAAGCCCAGTCTGTGAATTTTCTTGACAGGCTCCTGTTTGGCTTCTCTCTGATCTCTCTGCTCAGGATGTACTTCAGAATCTAAAACATGAACAGATCATTTGTCAGCAGCTGTGCTGTTCACAGGAAAAGAGAAGCACATGAATACACTTGGCCAAACTCCCACCTTTTATCTTTAATATTTTGTACAGTTGTTCAATTTAATGTATTTGTAATTTTGTTATTCAGTGAGGGGTGCTGGAGGTGAAAAACCTCTAAGAAATAAGTTTAGTGGGTTTTATACCTTCAGATTTTCTGTCAGAGATATTTTTCTAAAGGACGAAAGCACAATTTTCCATGTGTTCATTTATGCCTTCCTTAAGGACTTAATTCCTTTCTAAATCATCCCACTGCCAATTCTTTACACTACAGTTGATTTATGCAAACCAAACTCTACAGCAGTACAACAGAGCAGTTCTAGTGCGATTTCTGAAATTGTCTGGTGGTAAATGCAAAATTTCTCTGCAACAGAAGCCTGGTTCTAAACAGCTTGTGTAGTTTGTACTGAGAAACCCTGAAGCATTAAAACAACACTGCAATGGAAATACTTGTGTTTTGAACAACATTAGCTCATTAATACTGATACAAAACAGCATAATCAACCTGGAAAGAGATGTGCCAGAGCACAATTTTCTCCTAGATGCTACTGAATCACACCCACCTCTAATTTCCCAGTTTTTGCAGCTAATTGCAGTGGTGTCAAACCCTCCTTATTCTTGGTTGTTTCCAGAGTTCTGTCTTTACTTTTCAGCAGGATCATGTCATACATTCTGATCACAAAGTCGTTCTGTGTTTTGGAGTCCTCTGCCACGGTCACTAATGCATGGAGGATGTTGTTTCCTCTGGAATCCTGAGAGGAAATATTGGTCCTGGCATTGTCCATTAACAGCTCAATTATGTCTGGCTGGTTGGTACATGCTGCCAAAGCCAGGGCAGTCTCACCTGCAGAATTACAAAATGCAACAAGTGGTCATGGCTTATTCCAAACATTCAAATCAGAATAGAAAATATTGTGTTAAATATCTTAATATGTGAAAGCACATTTATATATCGATTGTACTGGATTAAGCTCTTGTTTTATGGAAGTTTTGGGTATTCCTTCTTAACTTTTCCAGAAAAATCTCAATTCCACTTACCAAAATAAAAGCCTTCATGCTTGTGTTTGGGATTAAAGAAAATACCCTGGGCATGAGCATTGACATCAGCTCCTTTCTCTATGAGGCTCTGGGTGATTTCATACTGTCTCCTCTCAATGGCAATATTTAGAGCTGTCTGGCCTGAAAAAGCAGACACAGGAATTTAGGGCTGAGTCCCTCAAGCACACTCTGAAACATAAATGATTTTTCACAAAAGATGGCACCAGTGATAATGAATAAAAGTTAGTTCAAGGGATTTAAACCATCATTATTTTATAGAGGTTATGTTTAACCATATAACTAAAACAGCTATGAGATGGCAATACCTTTATATGCCTCTTCTGTGTATGCTGCATTGATGAATCTCTCCAAAATGCCATTTTCCTCTGCAAAGGACAGGAGCATGTTCACTATCTCATTTGTGTTCTGGTTGATGTTCAGCAGAGCTTTCATCAGACAAGTTTTGCCAGTGTCTGAAGCTGTGAACTTCTTCATCAAGTAATCTACAAGAGTGAATTTTGAGTTTAGATCATTGTTATTTATGAAACTTCTGTTCATTAAGGGTGAAACCTGAGGATACAGATGAACAAAAACTATGTGCCAAACCATGACTCCATCCTGTTCACTTTGTTCTTGAGCACCAAAGCAAACTTGGTGTTCCTGTTGGACATCCTGGTGCAATAACTGCCAAATTCTCAGGGAAATAAATTCACAGGGAAATAAAGATAATTCACAGGGAAATAAAGATAATTCACAGGTTTAGGCTGCACCTGAGCTGCCAGAAGAGCTGGCAGCCCACCCCTGATGCCTTGAGAAGGCTGACCTAAAACGGAGACTGGACAGAGTTAAACAATAAAGTAGGGATTTCTTAGAAGTCCTCAATGGATCCACCTTGGGCAGCACAAGAGCCCAGCCAGGGCTACAGCCAAGATGAACCAAAATGGTCACAAAATGGACACAAGGTCTCCATTTGCATATTGGAGTTAATTGTCCAATTACAGCCTAGGTTATGAAGTCCCATCCTTCTTGTTTTTCTCTCTTCAGCCCACGGTGTTTGTGCTCTTGGGCAGAGATTTGGATCACTTGTCCTTGGTCCCCAGCTGGAGAAGGAATTGTTTTGTCTCCCTGCTCTGTGCAGAGAGCTCACCATCCCCTAATACGAAGCTCAGAAATGCAGACTAAAGCAGCAGAGAATGTGAAAACCATAAAATCTAAGAGCTGAGGCACAGCCTGGGTGCCTCAGGGCTCACCTGGCACGGGCAGGGAGGTGCAGGCGCCCGAGCGCTCCCTCAGCTCGGCCAGCAGCCGCTGCAGCTCCTCCGCGTTCCCCTCGGACACGGCCCGGAACAGGTTCCTCTTCAGCTTCTTCCTGGCACTCCTCAGCTCAGGGTCTTGGCATGTGGTAGCACTGAATTGGAAGAAATCATCATGAAGTTGCTGGTGCAATTTATCCTGGTTTATTTTATTTTAAGAAGAGTAAAACCAAATACAATTGTTGGCCCCAGACTACATGAACTTGCCCCACTGCTATGTATAGCTCAGAATATTTTTCATGTTGCTTATCTGCAGCTAACGGGGCCATTGAGAAGCTGATTTATTATAAACAGCACATTTTTCAAGTATTTTGTGTTTTATTAGTTTTATTATATTAATTTTTATTCATTCTCCTAGAATAAATGCTAAGGAACACTTTGCCACAGCTGACTGCAGTGCTGAGGTTACTTTGGACTGCTGCCACTGCAGAAGACAGATCTTAACCTCACATCTTACACCACTTTCTGATCATCCTTTATTCTGGAAAAAGAATGATTTCATATTTCCCCCAAGCAGAAATACTCCATGCCTGGTTGTGGTGTGTGGGTCCTGCATTGCCATCTAAAAAAAAATCCATTTTATATAAAGAATCCTCACACTAAATATGAAAATTGAGAGATTAGAGTTGTTTATTTCAACATTTAATTATTAAAGGGTCAGAAAGGCATGCACACATGACCTTTTATCCTAAAACTGGCAGGAAAAATAGGTAATATCTACCTTACTACACATTGAATCAGTTGAAAATGTGCTGAGAAATATTTGTGCCTCCACTCACCCACAGCTGTCCACGTTAGGGCTGTACTCTGTGGCATCATCCTGAAGAGACTGAGGGGAATCCATGTCTTCCCCATTTGCAGATGCACTGCAGAGAAAGAAAAAAAAAAGTGCCAAAATATCAGCAGGTATTTTGGCAAATTGAATGAAGAAACAGTCAATGGTAGGATAGATTATCTGCACTAGAGCTTAAATTAGCCCAGTTTGACATTGGACTTTTAATTCTATCATTTTATCTCCCAAATGGATTTTAAAGTGAGTGATAAAAACGAAAAGACTCTCAGGATTTTATTATATTTAAAAAAAGACCACATTAGGAAAGCAATCTGCTTTGTGTTTTATTATTTCACTACAGATCCTGAAACTGTGGGAACTTTTTTCTTTTTTTTTTTAATGATCATTGCTTTTTATACATCACTCTGAATGCTTGAAACTTGCATTCTTCCTTTTTACATGCTTAATTTGTCATCTGGCACAAAACAAGTGCTAAATCAGTAGCAGTGAGTGGGTTGCAAGCCCACAATGAAAGATTTACCTAAAGATTTACTACACAGAACACTGGAGGCAATTCAGGAGTGTTTTGTGGCTGACTTGAATGAAAGAAATTGAGGACTGGGCCCTAAACAGATGTGTAGGTGATATATTTAAAGGCTTTTCAATGGCATGGATATTTTGTAATTGCTGTACATAATTTCCACACAGTCCTCAAAGCAGATCTGACTAAGAAAAATTAAGATAAATTAGTTTCTTACTTATATTTTTGTTTTCTCTAAGGTTCAGATTGGATGAACTACCTCAGGTTAATAATTTAGGGAACCTGAGCTATTAATTATTGGCAAAACAGATGCGTGGACAGCACTGCTCTGCACGTGTTCCCTTCCCTTTGAAATAAATCTGGGAGCTCTGAGTCCATTCCTAATCCATCTGTCTCCTCTGCAAAAAGCTGAGTAATGTGGTGACAAAGCACATGTGCAGGTCACTTCCTGACTGACGGGGGAAATCTGGACACCTCTCCTCTGAAACCAAAACCAGCCTGTCAGCCAATTCCTAAAAGCTGACCAGACATCCTCAGCCACAAAAAACTTTGGCCATTCTGGGCCTGTGCCAGATTTGTGACATATTTCCCTTATTCATAATTATTGGTTGTTAGCACCCTACACATTTTTTAAAATTAAATGTATTCTTCCCAGTCATGATTTTTCTCTATTCATTCAGCATAAATGGCTGCTTTAAATATTTCAGATTCAGCATTTCCACATTTGATTGTTAATGAGCAATAGAGAGAAGACGTCAGCAGCCAGCTGGGAACAGCTAAATTAGGCTGTGGTCTTCACACAGCAGAAAACACCCAAATGAGAGCATGGAGTTTGTTCTAATAAGAGGCCAAGATTAAAAAAAAATACTGACTTTTAAATTTATTCAGATCTGAGGCCTGATTTATTCCATAGAAATGACAGCAGTAGATAAAACTAAAGATAAATCTCCAGTGAAGTTCTGTCTTTGAAGTGTCCAAAAGCTGTAAAAAGTCATGTGAAATCCTGGCACTGAGGCCCAAGGAGAATTAAGGGGAAGCTGCTGGCAAGAAAATAGCTATATTTGCAGCAGAACCATTGCTTGTGCATCTGGAACTTACCACGGGCGAATATTGGAATCCATGGGTTTGGAAAACACAGGGGGAGAGGTGTTATTGGGACTGGCATTGCTTTCAAAACCATCAATCTCCAGGAAAAAGTGGGAACTGTTGAAGACAGTGCATTTAAAAAAATATCAGTGCTAAAAGGCAAGCCCAACCATAAACCAAGAAAAGAACTACCAAGGATAAGCTTGATCATTTATCTCTCCTAGCATTAAACCTGAGGCTTATCTGCTTTCCCTGAGGGGATCCCAGCCTGTGCCCAGCTTTTCCAGGCTGGCAGATGGGCAAAGTTCCCAAGGTATTTTTGGAACACATGGCATCAGATCCCGACGTGTGTGAGCAGCAATCTGTAAACCAGCCTTGCACCCAGCTCCTGTCACTGCCCAGCCACACAAAAATGATTTTTTAAAATCCCAGTCCCTGTTCTTCCAGCCAGGAGCCATCAAGATGGATCATTTCAAACCCATTAGCAGTGATAGTGATTAAATCAGAAAGTTTGAAAGGTCACATGTTCAGTGATATCAGGGCTGAACGTGTCCCCTTGCCTGTATGATATTTGTTTTCCCTATAAATAATCATATAAATATTGATAGTGAAAAGAAATAAAATTTGGAACAACACAGATAAAGTGATATGAAAAGAAAGATTTCACCTTTTAAAAGCCTGCAGAGTTGAGAGGCAAAAATCAATGGCTTGGTTTTACTGGATCTCAGTAAAACATTGCTACAGCTCCCACAGACTGAGGAGTTTTAGGAGTGGATGCAGCAACTCCCACAGGGGCTGTTGATCAGAAACTGCCTTACATGTCTAAAATGTTGCAGTAATCACTTGGAAAATGTTTCCAATTCACCTAATATTTACAGGTTTGTCCATAGGGCATTCCTTATCTAATTGCACTTCCAACAAGATTTTTTGGGGAAGATGAAGTAGTAGTTGTATTGATGGTAAAACGGAAAAAAAGGTATTATTTAAAATGGTAGTATTAGGACACCACTGATATTTGCTAAAAACACCACCTCTGCTGATATTTGCTAAAAATAGCAGTATCTAGTTCACCTCCTTTTCCAATGGCTCAATGATCCAGCTGTTAACTCTGGCATCCAACAGCTGTGCAGCAGCTGGGAAGGGAACCCTGCTTTGGGGGCTGACAGACCTCACCTCTCCTGGTTTGGGGGTTACCTGGGCATGTCATAGGAGGGCAAAACCACCCCCAAAGCCACCGTGCAAAGCAGGGTGCCATCAAATAGCCGGGTGCTGACGTGGCCAGGTGCTCTGCCCACAGGCATCAGCAGGCTCTGACAGCCTCCTCCCCGCCCACCCCTCGCATTTCCTGTGCTTAATTATAACTTGGAACCCCCAAATTCTGGGGGCTTCCAGCTGGGAATGCCACTGGCTTTCAAGAAAGTGAATATTGAGAGTGAGAAATGCCACCCTGGGAGTGCAGCAGCTCTGCTGGTGCAGGGGAGGGAGAGTTTTGAAGGAACAGCAAGAAGCAGCATTGGAACATATAATTAATAGAATTCTCTGCATTAAAATCCACGTGATGTGGGTGCTGTGTGTTGCAGGAATGCTGCCAGCCACACCCTGAGCTCTGGCTTGAGAGGTGGGATAAACCCCAGGGTTCCTGTTCCTGAGGCCACAAGGAGTGTGAGATTGGGGTTCAGTAATTGAGGGTTTGGCTTTGGCAATGTTCCTATAACTCCATAATCTGTCAGGGAATTGCCCCTTTTTGAAGTGCTGGGTGTATCATGAGCTGTTCAGACACTTTGTCTCCCCCCATATGCCACCAAAGAGCTTCTCTTCTTGAATTGAATGACAAAAAGACAAATTGGACCACCCAGGCAGTAGATCTCATATAACTAATGGCACCGTTCCTGTGAAAAGTGATTCCTCTGATTATTGGGAATTATAAATGTCAGAACAGCCACAATTGGCCAGGCCTTCAGAGTTTCAGAAATTGCCATAATAGCCAGTAATTATTCAGAATGAAAAGTTTATGAATGAAAATTCATCCTCACTCTACAGTGACTTAGTTGACTTCATAGTATCAGGCAGGAACTACAGCTCAATTTTCCCATTCGTATTAAATACAAACCCTTTATTAACTCTCAAACCCTCAATCCCTTTATTAATTCTCTAATATCAATTATGAATGAAAGTGAATATTTTATAAAGCAGAAAAAAAGTCTCATTAACTGGACTAATGAAAAAGAGAGTGAATTTATGTTTCTGTTTGTGATAGGATTTTTCAAACCTCCTGCTCTCCCTGCCCTCAGCCTCCATACCCTCACATGGAAATGTGACAGATTACGTTTGAAATACTCTCTTTTTTTCAGGCCAAGATCTCTTACATAAAACCTGGTGTGTTCTTCCATGTGATCTCTTGAAAAGATCACTTTATACCAAACATTATCCATCATTAGATCGAATTCTTGTGAGGTTACAGGGAACAAAGATGTTGGTGGTATTTCAGTGCAAAGATCTCCCAAAGGAGATAAAGCAGGGAGTTTTAGTGGTTTAGGCTCAGCTGGAGTCCTACCTTTTCTTGGTGGGAGTGCCTTCAGTCACCTTTTTCTCTTGCTGGTTTGCAGGGGGATTTCCAGGCAGGTTTGTTTTCTTGCCCATTAGTGGAACAATTTCGTTGTTATCTTTAATCATGTTTCTGCAGTAGAGAAACAGCAATTGCTTGACTCCTGTTCCTTTGAAGGAAATGTGGTGACCAAATTACCATTTACAGTCTCTTCACGTGTAAATACACAAATATTGATTCTTTTTTTCCCCCCAAATTTCTCATTTTTCAGACACTAAGCACACACCTCCACCATTTCATGTGTCAAATCTGGAGGGTTCCACACATGACTCATTAAATTGCAGTCTATGACAAGTGCCATTAAAAGTGGTACCAGGAGAACCATAAATTCAAGCCTGTGCCTAAATTAGACTGAAGGGATTGTGTCAGTCCCAGTGACAGTGTGTGTTATTTAGAGAAAAAGAAAGATGACTTTTATAAGTAGCCCCAAAGCTGGGCATCTTTTCAGTTAATCTGTGCAGTCTGCTCTTGATAAAGATAATTTCAGAAAAGTGATAAATCCCAGAAAGATCTGTGCAACAGCAAACAGATAAAGGAAGGTTCCAGATGTGAAAAGAACAAAGAAAAATCCCTGAAAGCTTTCACTGCATTGGAACAGCAGAAGCAGCAGACTGAAAACGATGCCCAAGGTGAGCTTAGCTAGATTATCACATGGATAACATCCAGGATTTGTGTCCTGGTGATTTCCCAACATTTCCTCAGGAAAAAGAAAAAACCCCCATGATTCTGCTGGAGGGAAATGACCACCAGTACATGACACAAAAGGATCTTGATGCAGTTACCCGCTTGGGAACACCCACAGCATGAATTCTGCAAGGAATAATGAACTATCTCCCTGTTTCTCAATCTAGTACTCAAGGGCATCATTTTAAATGGCCCAGGATAATTTGAAAGCAAGAAGGTGAATTCAGGATACATTAAAATTCACTGAAGGTACACCCAGGAAGATTTATGAGGTCAGGGATCCATTCCCAAGGAAATCAGGGGAGTGGCCTCCAAACCCAAGGACAAATGGTAAAAATAATTTGCCTGAAAAGTTTGAACAAAATCAACCACACATTTTTCCCCCCTCCTACTCCACTTTCCTTAATGTGACAAATGTACACACACAATTTTTCTGCTCCTGTCACAGAGCTGTCAGTGTGCCTTAGCACCAGGATCCCTTCATTCTGGGAGTATCATGATACAGAAAGCAGATTGTTCAGAGTGTTTGAAAAGACATGACACCTGGTATGAGAGAGGAGCCAGGAATATCAAATACACTGGTATTGGAATGAAACTCTATTAATGCATAAACAACAAATGTTTAATTATGGCAATTTTCAATCCCAAGTACAGAGAGCTGAGAATTTACAGGGTCCAAACACTCCTAAGTGCAGCTGTAATCTCTTGGCACTCTGTGGAATAGGGACTTGAAACATTGGAAGGGACTCTTACCTTGCAAAGGCTGGCTGAAGAAACGGGCATGGGAAGAAATTTTTAACATGTTTTTTACCATTGGCAGGTGTGCTCACACTAGGAAACATTCCTAGTTTGGATAAATTCCCTAAGAATTCATGTCACAGCTTTCAGAGAAATAATTTATAAAGGGAAAAATATTTTTACTTGCACACAAAGTACACCACAGCTTCTAGTAAATGCAGTGAAGAGCTGAACTTGGAGATGGCACAGTGGAGGTGGGAGGAGGGGGTTTGTCTGTGCCACTGGAAATGCCACTCAGGAAGTCCCCAGACACATGCTGTGTCACTGAACACACTGATAAACTTTTAGTCTAAACACAGCTAAAAAAAAATACTGTTGTCTTGCTTAGTTCATAAATAATTCTGCTATTTACTTCTTACCAAGTACTTAAAGAATACAAAGCAGTGTATGGGCTAAGATCTCCCATCCTGAGGAGGAGGCAAATGGGATACTTGACATAAATCAAATAAAAGGGGACCATGGTGGGGATGGACATTAAGTAGCTTCACAAAATAAAGGCTTTAAAGGAAGAGAATAGTTGGGAACAGGTTTAAAAAGTCCAAAAGTCAACAAAAGGAGCTGCCAAGTTGAGAAGGGCTCAGCTGGGTGGGGTGTGAAGTCAGAGGGGTGAGAGAGCAGAATGAAGAGCTGGAGGAATAAAGATGGAGTTAAATTCCTAAATTCCTCGTTTGTGAGTGGTGCTGGAGCTGCTCAGAGATGGCAACACCTCCCTGCAAGAGCAGCAGCTCCAAGCCCCATTTACAGTCAGTTTTCAGCACAGAGATTTTAGGAGTGGCTCGAGAACAGGCTGCACCTCTGAGGAGAGGTGGGGAATAACCAAAATAGCCCTGGAGTTGTGTTGGATGATGAAGGACTGCTGAACAACCAGTGATGTAAGGAAGCAGTTTGGCAAGGAAAAAGAGGACAGATTTCCTTAAGTACAGAGGGACTCCACTTTCAAAAGCACAGAGATGTGACTGTATCCCAGCCAAAAAGTCTATTTAAAATGAGATTTTAATCAGCCTGCCCAAGTAAATAACTGCAGGCACCATAGCAGAAGTACCTTGCTACAGTGCTGAGGCAGCGTCTGCCTCATTTTTAATCACAATTAACTGTGTGCTGGGATGAAAACTAAGCTGGGCTCTCAGCACTTTCCAGTGCACTATCATTTCCTGTAATCTATGGCAGAAAGAGGAAAATAGTGCAGCAGCCTGAAAAGTGTCAGATCTAAGCAGTGTAGTTTCCCTAACCTGATAAAAAGTGTTGTCTTTGGTTGTAACTATTTTCTACTCCCATTATCTCCTTAATTGTCACTTACAGGCCACCAGAGAGGTGGCTTATTTGAAGTGGCCAGCAAGACAAAAACCCTGCATTCATTTATAGTATCAAGAATTACTTTGAAAGGGATCTGAGGAGTTGGTATCTGACCTCCAGTGTGCTGGGGGTAAGAAAAGGGAATTTATTTGTGATGGTAAATGGAATTCTGCCATTGCTACACATTATCACAGACTCACCTTCTGCTTATCTGAGAACAGGAAAAATCACACATATTTGTATCTTTATATCTCAGTAACAGTTTTACAACGTGGCTAAAGAGGGAATCCTATAAATCAGAAGAAAGACTCAGCTGTGATGTTGTGGCACAAAGGTCTTCCCTTCCCTGGGGAGCAGGAGGGGAAGTGACTCCCAAGAGCCTCAGAACAGACCATGGCCCTTCCCAGCACCTACCACCTAATTCTTACTGGCCATAAAAATTAAATCCCCTCCTCGAGGGGAAAGCTGATAAAACTTCATTTTGACTTTTCATAAATAATCAAAAATATGATTATTTATGAGTCATATCAACAGAAAGTTACACTTGGTAGGAAGAGCTGCATCTTCCTGTAAGGTTTTTAAACTTTTGAGGGGCATTCATTGGCTTCAGGTGCTACCAAGAATGCTGCTCTTGGTGAGAAATTTTCACCTTCCTATGAAGGTTCTTTCTAACAGAAATTTTGAATAAACTCTGAAAAGCAACATTTTTTTCCCTGAAGAAAAGCGATTTGAAATTATTTACCTGCCTATTTCTGAATTAAATAAAAATAGGAGTTTTTCTGAGTTGAAATTACTTATTCTATGCCTTATAGTTGACTTTCAGTGGTCACTACAGTAGCTGAAATTTTTGGTGGAAGATGATGAAGGTATTAAAGTTATGATATTATGTTTTGTATCCCCTTGGCACCAGAATTAGGAAGTACAACGGTGTCCAGGCTGACAAACACAAATTAAATCAGCCCTGTCCTTCTTCACTCCTGAATGCCCAAGGAAATAGCACAGCTCAGGAGAGCCATTTACAGACTAGAAAAACAGAAACAAGCACAACAGAAACACATTCTCTGTGTGAAGGATGGCTTCCACCTCTGTCTCTGGAAGATTTCCCTCTCTCCAAAGCATCACCCCCAAACACCCTGGAGCACTCACCCCGCTCATAGCACCTCCATGTCGGCGTGGACGGATCTGGGCGGCGAAAACCAAAGCAAAGCCCCGCTGACAACATCCAAAACTCATCTGCCAAAGGAGCAAAACCACACTCAGGCTCCAGACTATCCCAAAAACACAAAAGTACCCTGCTCCAGGCATCTGGTGTGCTCAGCTGGGGAGCAGAGCCAGGGGAGCGCCGAGGAACCGCGGCCGCACCGAGTTTGCTCCATCTGAAATTAGGGAGCAGGGAGAAACTGGCCAGGCAACAACTCTTGACTTCAGAGCTGCTAAAGTGGGATGACACACAGGCAGTAATTACACACTGGAGTGTTACCAAAGCTGAGTTGCTCACAGGTGACTTCATGGCAGCAGTGGAGTATCTCAGGTGATCGCTGCTCTGCAGTTTACACGCTGTTTGCAAAGGGAAATGGTCATGCAGCTGCTTTTGGGTTGTAAATGACACCTTTATGTCACGCTCAGTTTGTTACATGGCATGGACCTACTCAGAAGGCAGAAAGCAACAACAAGGAAATGATCCTAAGTGCTCCAGCAAGCAGAAATTTTTGCTCTAACTTTGAAAATTCACAAACTATGTTAGAAAATCTTATCATTGCACAGTGCTGTCAGGGAAAATGTGTGTGGGGGGTATTTACATTTTTCCCTACCTGTAAAAGTTTTTAATGAATATGTCCCCACAGGGGCTGTGGGAACACAACCAGTTGGGTTTCACACCCCTGTGACAGGCAATGGCTTTTCACAGCTTTTCTGCTTTGGAGCTGTTGAGCAACGGTGAATGCAGAATTCTGGTCTGGCAGATACCAAAAGAGTGACCATAAGTTCCTCTGCTCTTTTTATAGAGTCTTTGCATTATCACCAGAAATAGGATGTGAAAAACTCCTATGTCTTTGTAGTCAGACCTGCAAGGTGTATTTACAGCTGCTGGTCTTGAGTTAATTATTAGATAGGAGTTTAAGAATAACTATGTAGGCAGCAAAACAGGAATCTTTTTTCAGCTGTAGACAAGGGCAAAAAAAAGTCAAGTTTGGGTGGTGTTTTTTGGTAGGAGGTAGGGCAAAATTTGGAAGTAAAACCAAAATATGTTTAGCTACTACAACACAGACATTTTAATCCAAAGACTATGGCGTTAAAATACATCTACAAACTTAAGGTAAGCTCCTCCTGTTCATAAATTATTTTTAAAAACAGGTCTGCTGGGTGTTACATTTGCCTCAGACCTTGTGTGAAATGCCAGGAGCGCTGCACAGTTCCTGCTAATGAATCAGCTCCCAGCAGCTGCGTGGGGAAAGGGGCTGTGTCTGGGCTGGTTGGGTTTGGCACTGGGGATCCCTTTGGTTGGAGGTGCTGAGTACACATCCAGCTCTGCCTGACAAATTCCCGCTCTGTTCCAAGCCCCGTGCCAGGAGATGTTGTTCACATCTTGCCAAATGCCTGAGCAGAGCTCTGACAGCCCAGAGGCAGCTGCTTTGATGGTCTTTTAGTGTAAGAACCTGGAATAAGGACTGGGTCCTGCCATTCCCTCCTGCCTGGGACAGCACCAGCTTGGTTCTCAACACAAACTGCAAGGAGCTGTTTAATCCTCACTCTGAGGATGGAAATAGGCAGAGGCACATGAAATCTGGGTGAAGGTGCATTTGAGGACTCTTGCTTTACCTCTGATCAACCACAGTAACAGAAATCCTCTTGCTAAGGAGGAAAAATGAATTTGGCAGCAAGCAGGACTTTGAATTTGGAAAGCAGCTATATCTGAAAGCAGCCAGATCTGTGGGGTTTAGCAGAACACAGCACCTAGCAGCAAGGTCTATTTATAATGTTGTGGCAGTTATCCAGAGAGGAAAAACCAGGACAAGCAGCAGCAAGAGAGGCAGAGCCCTGCTGCCCACAGAGAGGTGCAGGGACTGCAGGAGCTGAGAGCAGCTCACAGCAGCTCCACTCCACCCTGCCTGCTCTGTGAGCTGCTCCTTGCACTGCCAGGGCAGCCTGGACCCCCTGAACCCCAGTGTGGCCTTTCCTCTCAGATCTGGGGAGCAGGGCCCTGCCTGGTTCTGGCTGATCTCCCTGAAAACAGAATTTTGGGGTGCTGTGAGCCTGAGCTGGGCTGCTTGTGAGGACAGACTTGAGGGGCAGGAAATGAGAGGCAGAGCTACAGCCTGTCACATCTGTGCAAACATATTCTTCCAGTTTTAATCGCCAACCTGCTCACTGTTTTTGTCCCCTGCTCCACTCTGATGTTTCTGACAAGGGCAGCATTTTTCAGGAGCCATGGAGGGTTTTCCAAGAGGCTCTGTCCATGACCATGACCATTTTATAGAGTTTTACAGCAGTCACCAGCTGCTGCTCCAGCTACTGAAGAGATGCCATAAGGGTTAAGAACATTAATAACATGCATCTCCTATTAAGAATTACTTGAAAATTTCAGCTTTGGACAGTCTGTACAGCACAAATAAGCAGCAGAAGCCCTATGTGGCATTATTTTGTTTTCCTAGCAAGTGTTAGACTCAGTAGAAACCAAAATGAACAAGATGAGGGAAACCCCAGATGGGAAAGAATGAGCATTTGGAGATCTTCCATCTGACATCAGCGAGTCAGAGCAGCATTTGCTCTTCTGCTGATACAGGACACCATCCCAGGTAAACTCACATTAGAAGCTATTCAGACTTTATATTTAATTCTCTGATTTTTAGTACCCCAGCAGATTCACTTATGGGAAAAGCCACTATCTAAATACATTTTTGACTTTGAGTAACATCAAGAATAATTGTAATTTACTTATTGTCATCATTCCATCCCCCAAGCTCCTTAAAAATAATCCAAAATATGAGAATTAAAAGCATAGCAGTAGCATCCCACTTCCCCTGAGCATAGTGTTTAACTGATTCACAGGAGTCTCCCATGATTTTTCACTGTGCTCTCCTCACCCCTCCCCTCAGAGTTAAACTTGTCCTGGGATCACCTCTGTGTGCTGCTCCACAAAGAGCTTTTCACACCTCTCCAGACAACTGAGTAACACTTGCAAATATTTATACATTAGGCTCATAAATTGCAAGATAAGAGGCTGCTTTATGCAGCTGAGCAACAGGAATATGAATTAGCCTGCAAGTGTGTGACTGTCACTTACCAGGAGACAGCCTTGTGGGAAGTCATTCCAGGAAAATACTGGGATATCACTTACCAGTTGGTGCAGTCTGGGCTGCAGGGACAAGTCAGCCTCTTTAGCAATTCTGTGATGCATTTTTGAACTGGAGATCTGATTCACAAAGATCCCTGCCAGAGAAAAAACAGTCCCATGCATGAGGGGATGGAGAAGGGTTGCTGGAGCCTCCATCACAAATATATTCCCTTCAACTGTGACACTGTGCAGTTTATTCTTTCTGCTTGGGGAAAATAATTGTTACCCTAATTATTTTCTATTCTTTCAAGTCACACATCCTGGACCTGATTCCAGCAGCTGCCCTGAGAGTCCTGCTCAGCACAGGGAGGACCTCCACTCATGGCACTCCTCAGTCTGTCCCTGCTGTTTTCTTGCTTTCTGCAGCAGGGAAAATGAACATTTTTATTCTGCATTTGAGCAGTACCCTGCTGCATCATAGCCAGGGCTCATATTAAGGAGTAGAAGAGAAAAGAAAAGCCTGACCCTATGTCTCAGCTTCTATCCACTCCCTCCAGCCAAAAACCCAAAGCTGCCTCCCTTCCCCCCTTATTATACCCTCTCCCCAGCTAACAGAGTGCTCACTTCCACCTGCATCTCCCTAATTCCCACATCTGTGGCCAATTCCCTATGCAGGCATGGGCTCAGTAATGATTAAGTTGAAATAAGTGCAGTAAAAACCCACTTTATGTTAGTGGCATCAATATTTGACTTCAGGCCACAGTTATCCCTTCTCTTGGCAAAGTGTCAGGGCTACCTAAGCATGAGATCATGATAAGCAGTGGTAAGAATGGATTTGCCACTTTTTTCCTGTGTGTTTTCCTGCATTTGTGCTGTTCTCAATGTCTCCTGAGGCAAAACCTAACAGCCCAAACTTACAGATTCCTTTGCCAGCCCTCTGTGTACAGATGTGCAGGTCCAGATGTGCAGGGTGGTGGCTGCTCCTCTTGTTCCCATCCTGTGAGCATATCCTGCTGTTGGTGCTGTGTGTCACAGGCTGGGCACACAGTGGGGAGGCTCACCAGGCTATAAGACCTTTGGTGGAAAAAATAAAACCAGTTTTAAAAGCAGGAGAGAGGCATCTTTTCCTGCAATTGCCTCTTGGCTGAGGGAGCCAAGCCTCCTGTGTGACACATCCCAGCTCAGAGAGGTCTCCCAAAGCACAGACCTCTCTTGGCTGCTGAGTCTCACACTCCCAACTAGGTCAGGGTTGTTCTGCAGCTGTTTCAGGCTGAGTTTGAGACTCTTCAGTTGTGGTGCAGAGTTTCTGGTAATGCTGAGCAGCGCTGGGGAATGAGGCAACATGAAAATGCCTCAAGGAATGCACAGTGAGGAAAGCGTGACCCCACCTAAATGCTGCATTTTTTTTGGCTCAAGTTTGTGCTGCCACTGCTTGACTCAAGTAGTTTTTGGAGGATTAGCACCAAACCTGGGGAGGAACTTCCATGTTTTAAGAAATTCAGGTTGAACTAATGGTTCAGTCATTTGATTTTTAAAAACATCAAACCTCCCTTCTTAGAATGGGGATATTTTTATCTGTCTTATCCATCTAAATCTGGGGAATGGTTTATTTCCATTCTTTCTCCAAAGATCTCTTTATACTTGTAAAACACAGGAGGGGAACAAAAATTCACCCACTATCAGGCCTTAAACTGAGAGCCAGACTTTGTATCAGCTGTAGCAGCATATGAAATGCTCAGGAGCTGTAACAAACTAAAGTCCCTGCAGGCCTCTTCCACTTGTTGTCAAGTTCTTTCTGGCAAATAAATGAAGAATTGAAGGTGGACATCTACCAGCTGAAATAAGCCCTCAGATGCTTTGGGTCCCCAAAACAAGAGCTCTAAATCCTGCAGGTGCCTCATTGCTGCAGTCAGGAGGGCACTGGATAAATCTGGTGTTTGAAACTTCCAGGGATTCCAAAGGGAATTCTTTGGGTAGACGTGTATCATATGTGCCCCAGCATCTTTTCAGGATACATTTTCCCTGCCTCAGTTTCAACCCATTATCCTAATTAAAACCTCTTTCATTATGCAAATCATCTCCTCTCTCAGTTT